ATGAAGAAAACATTTTTGCATTGGTTAACGACTTGCATATTGTGTTGTTAGTAAGTAAGTAAGTAACTTATTTAACCAGGGTTACCCATTCAGCAACGAGGCTGGTATTCATAGGGGCGGAATAAAGATATGTACAATCTATAAGATCTGAAAAATTAAGTACAATTTAGAAATTTAAAATTTATAGATTGGCGGTTATATCGAAGTAGGCTTTAACAAGGAGGAGATGTCAGTCTAATACGATCATTTCAACTATAGAGCAATTTTAGGAAAATCGTATTTGTGGACTTGTACATGCCGATGTAAAAAACAAAACAAAAAACAAAAAAAAACCCTTCTTTGAGCCAATTGTAAAGAATTTTGATGCATAAATATGAAACCACAAGCGTCCCCAGCTCACGTTTCGAGAAAAGCGAAAAATCAATTCCCTGGGTACGCACGTATCCATTCATGAAAGCGTCAGGCGTTGTGTGAGGCTGAACTGACGCGGTGTTAGGTTACACGCGGAACCGTTGAGAATTTGAGCGCGTTATAACAAGTTGTATGGGGAATAAAATATCGTCGATTCAGAACACTAGATATTCCGAAATATGAACATTTTACAAGTAAGATTATTGAAACTCTCCCCTTGTGTGTCCCTTGTAGTTTTTGGTGGTCACTACCGTTTTGGGCTTTCTCTGCTATCTGATTGTTATTCCCTTCGTCTCTTTTTTTTGCACAGGAAGATCTTCTGATGTTATTTCTTAAATTACTCACAACAGCAACTAACCTTTTGTGTTTCACAATTGTCATGGCAACATCAGAAGATCCTGCCTTCGCTGCTATTTCTAAACAACCGTTTCCTTCTTTGTTGCACAGCATCAAACTTGCCCCACAGTCCAAAAGTAGACGAACTATAGCTGCATGGCCCTGTCCACAAGCCACGTGTAATGCACTGTCACCATCTGTATCTTGGAGGTCGACAGAAGCTTTGAAATCAAGCAGAATCTTAGCGCATTGTAGATTGTTTTTCTGAACAGACCACATCAAAGCTGTTCGGGAGTCGTTATCTTTACTGTCTACTTCTGCTCCCAATTTAAGAAGTGTCTCACAAGCTTTTCTGTGGGGGAAAAAAAAAAATGCCTTATGCTGATTAATATTGAACCATTCAAAACTTTAAAGTGGCTCGAACCTTCGTCTTTGCGCGTTAATCACGTTTTTTTTTTTAATTTAAGAGCGCGTTTTTACAGAAAAATTAACCCGCGCACTTTCGTTGATTTTTGAGGTTTCAAATAAAGAATGTTTGGCACGCATGACTGACTTTTGAACTGCCTATAATTTTGAAATCTAACAACACATTTTTTTCTTACTTTCTCAAAGGGGCCTCAAATTAAACCTCGGGCCCACAAGCAAGGGGTGGGCGAGGGACAGAAATTATTTAATCTGGATCTTCGTCTTGTCCACCTTTTTGAGCTGCACTGCAAAATTAGCACCTCTGTCACATTTCGTTATCACTGTCACTAAACGTTTTCGTCAATCCAACGTTATTCATTTTCGGACTTTCGTAGAAAGCAATGAAATTCAAGATGGCACGTTATGACGTTATGACATCAAATAATAATATCTTAATATCTCGAGATATATTATCGCAAAGAATACCCAAGAAGAGGTCCTAACCTACCCCATACCATCTTTACTGTGCCAATTAGTTTATGAAGTTCTTGAGTGATACATGGAAACATCGCTATGATGAGCAGAAACATACTTAGAAAAGGAATACTAATTAGCTCTTATTAACCGGGCAGGGGGTCTGTATGGGAG